AGTTTTGAGGCAGTTCTGAAGTAAACTGAACTTATTCTTACCAGACTACAGTGTGAGATGTCCAGTCTGGGGGTGCGGACCAGGCCAGCACTCTTGCTGATTCAGGAGGTCTGTGGCCTTCTTCAGACCACGCTGAGGAAGATAGAGAATTTGCTTCTGGGGGAGAAGTAGCACCATGTCCACAAAGCCTTACCTCAGCCTCCTCTGCTTTGGCCTGAACAAACCAAGGGACCTCAGCTTCTCCTCATATGTCTTGCCTTTCAGACCCTTCACCACCTTTGTAACCCTCATCTGGGTGCTTTCTAATGGTTTAATGTCCTTCTTGTATTGTGGTGCCCAAAACTGCACAATGCTTGAGGTGAGGCCACACCAGCAGCCAGGACACACTGCTTAGAATACAAACTCAGCTTCTCAGCATACCGGGAGAAGGAAAGACACAAACAGCCCAACGTTTATAACAAAGCAGCTGAAACTAAAGCTCCCATACACAAAGCTAGAAATGAAATGGAAAGGACCAACTGCGCCCTGCGATGCACCAGGCCCAGCACTGTCAGCTGGATGAGGGAAGGGGCTTGTCCCATTGTGAGGCCTCACCTCCAGCACTGCCTGCAGGCTGGGTGCCACAAACATGAGGGACGTGAAACTACAAGGGAGTGTCTGAAGGAGGGTGATGAAGATACTAAAGGGTTCAGAGGGCAAAATGCACCAAGAGCAGCCGCATTCCTCGTGTGTGCTTAGCGCACAGCAGAGGAGCTGAGAGGAGCCCTCATGGCGGCTGCAGCTCCTGACAGGGAGCAGAGGGCAGCACTGAGCTCTGCTCTGTGTGACAGCGACAGGGCCCGAGGGAACGGCATGGAGCTGCGTCAGGGGAGGGCAGCTGGGGGTCAAGGAAAGGGTCTGCAGCAGAGGCGGGTGGAACAGGCTCCTCAGAGCAGTGGTCATGGGTGGTCCTGTGTGGGGCCTAGGTGATCTCTGTGGGTGCTTTCTAATATTCTGTAATAAAAGTAGCAAAAAGATATTGCAGAGAAGCAGGGGTTCAGCCTCATTAAGTCTGTGTGCTTGTTCCAGCTGCTTATCTCGCTAGAAAATTCACACTTGCTATCTTCACATTTACTGTGCTCTGATGTTGTTATCACAGATTTCCATGCACTGCAATTAGGAGGGACTATTAGGTTTGTTGAGACAGCAGGAAGCTAGCAAACTGCCTCCAGTGAGTTGAAAAGGAGCACCTCCACTTTCTGCAGTCAATCTAAAATCAAATGACAAACAAGACCTTTCTGCTCCTAAATGTTTTCAGTTAGTCTAGCATAACATGGGCTTTTAGTTCAGCTGAGGAATTTGAGTCTGTAGATTAAGTTTAGCTGAATTTACTGTGGGAGTGGGACTGGGAGATTTATGAGAGCAAGACATCTGGGATATTCTCCATCTTCTTGGTGACTATTCATACCTCCTGACCTCCTTGCCACTATTACAGCCCTTCTCTGTTGTGTTTGTGCTCCTCAGAACCTCTGACAGGGGAGGTAAATGTGAAAATTTAAAGCAGCAACAGAGAAAGGTATTTATGGAACAAGTACAGATCTCCACAAAGCCTTGGTGCAGAGTCCTCAGGAAATTGAATGGATCTGTTCCTTGATCTCACATGTAGACATTTAAATGTGAGGTGGTTAACTAGCCCCAAGTTTGCTTTAATTAACTTCTAAAAGTTTGACAGTGTTTTATAAATTAAGAAGTACAACACCAATGTTTTTTATCATTGTGCCAACTAGTCTTCCAGTCTTTTCAAATCTGTCCTTTCTAATTTAGAGAAACAGTTCTCACTCTTTTGTTACCTCCTTCTATAAAAGTGGCAATAATTCTGATATTCTCAATTCTGCTGTGTGCTTTTGTTCTTCGTGTGCCTTTCTCCTTTGTTGTCTTGAAGGAGGAGGCAGATTGCAAAGAAGGAGCTGAGGACCACAGATAAACTGAGCACTGCAAGAAAGTCTTCGTGTTGAAGTCTTGCTGGGATGTCTGATGTATGTGGACAGTGAGAGGACGATGGACTTTCATCTCTTTATAAGCAGTTGAAAAGGGTTAGTTTCATTTCCCTGTAGGGAGAGGATGCTGTTCCTGTTCTATTTCTTAGAGTTTGTTGCAAAGGAAGATAATATATTGTCAGATTTCAGTGCACAGAGAAAAAGTTTAGTCGTTTTCAAAAAAATGTATTAGGAATGGTGACAAGGACTTATCTACTTTTGGATGAAAGGCCATTCTTCTGTGATTCAGACTGGGTGTTTGGCAAATGGTTTGGGGTGATTTTGTGCTGCTACAGGCTTTAAAAGTGTACATGGGTGTTGAAGGACATAGGAGCAGCTCTGTGGCTTCACTTTAGAGAGGTAATGGGAGAACCTCAAATCAGAAACTGTCAGATGGGGCTATTCCTGCTCCTGCAGGGGATCTGACACTGTAAGGGAAAGAGGAAAAAGCTGGCTTAGGGCTGCTCTGCTCTGGAGGCACTTTCCCTTGACAGAGGTATGTGATCCCTTGTTCAAACTTTTATTTTCTTGCAGATTTAGCATTCAGCTTAGTTTGACAGGCTTACTAAGAGTCAAGGAGAAAGGCCTGTCATTTATGCTGGTTGTAGTCTGCCTGTCACTCTGATGTGTAACATTAGAGCCTGTCTAAGAGTCACCCTGTGCCCTTGCGGTTGGATCACAAGTCTTTTCTATGAGATCTTCGGCAAAACCTCTGAGTGAACTTAGTTGGCAACTACAATCACAGTAGTTGAGGATTACTCAAGACACCAACATTTTTATTGATTTTTCTATCCCACCCTCTAGCTGAAAACTGGTGCTATTTACATTGCATGGTCGATTTGTGTTCACAGCACTGCTCTTTATCTGTGCTTGCCTCACAAATACAAAATAGGATTAGAACATGAATAAAAAAGTAAGACTCTGTTCTTCTTCCACTGACTGATCCTAAGTTTCCAAGGGGCAGCTTCCCACTGCAAAATACAGCTATTCCTCATGAGTAAACTTGGGATTTTAAATACTGAGAGCAATTTCAGCATCTTGTACTGAGTTAGATCTGACCTGCCTGAAAATTCTTTGTCTTTTTAATTTAATGATGCACATAACCAAATGAATGTAAGAAGTTCCAATAGTTTGATCCCATTAAACTGACTTAAATCTGTTTAACATAATTATGAAACCAGAATGTTGATAAAACTTAGGCAAAAGTTTTCATTCTCAGTTAACATTTTCAACAGGTGTCACTAATTGGACACTTCTGAGACCTGCATTTCCAGTGACTTTGATATGTGTGGTGATTTTCTTAGCTCATTCTGAAAGTAATTCTCCTATTCATTTACATGGAAAATACAAAAGTTACAAAGAGCACAATAACACCACTTGATAGAGCAAATTCTCAGCCACAAAACATTCCTTTTCAACACAGCCATCTCCACTAGCTCTGCATTTTTGCCAATGATGAACAGGAGCCTACATCCTGTGCTTGTAACAATCCATACCAGCAGAGGTAGCCCACTGTTTCACAGCTGCTATGATTGCTAGGCGTTATTGCTAGGAGAACATTGCCTATGCAGTCCGGCTTTCACTGTGCTCACAGCCACTGTTTCATCTCCAGAAACATTCCACAAGCACTGATAAATGTCAGTGGGTGAAGTTTTGTCCACACAGAGCAACTCAGTGACACACCTTTGCTTCATACACACTTTGATATCAGAAACCATTGTCTCAGGCTGCTCCTCTGCTGCCATCTGCTATATGGCAATAAAATTTAATGAAATATTTGTGGGAAGGTTTGACCTCTACTGCCATACCACCATCTGCCTCTGACATTGTGGGCCAACATCATAAAATAGGAGGCATTACTTTTGTGGTATTCCTTGCATACAATTAATGCATATAGTGAAATCCTGGCAGGAGATGGCATTTCAAACCACCTCCCTACAGCGTGTATCTTAGTAAGCATCTTAACCACAACACAGCGTGAATGAGAGTACTGGTATAAGCATAGTGGCTTTATGAACAGTGCCAAGGATGTCTTTTTTACCATCTGCTTTTAGTAAGAATATCCAGAACTGAGAACATATACTTCAGGCTTAGTGAAAGGATTCTTTTGTTGTTTATAAACTGTTTTCCTTTTAGTGGCCTGAAGTAGGAAGAAATTTTATTGTTTTTTTTCCCAAAACGTAATTATTGAAATCCTTGAATTTCCCCAGCTTGATGTAAAACACTGATGAGGATCCAGCTATTAATTTACAAGGGAGTGTGTAAGTCAGATGTATTGAGGCCACTATATTTTGTCTGTCCTGATATTACCAAACAGTATGAAATTGATTCCTCTACCTCACACGTACACACAGTAAGCCCTGAATACACAACATAACACTGCTTTATTAGAAGAATTTCTTGACATTTGCTCAGTGATGGCTCACAAATAACGTTGTTAAGCTCTGCACTATTATGTGCATTTCTTTGTACAAGATTCTGACAAAGCCTGAAATATAGATTTAAAACCTTTGACACTTGGTAAGCATTCTTTGAAGGAATTTGGGAAGAACCACATGGGACAAAGCTGTGCCTCTTCCTAGTAAAGCTGTCTTGCAGCAGAACTTCCCCATGCATTTTGTAATCAGAGCATCATGACTGCAAAGTAAAGCAGTTGCTTGGGAGATACTAAAAATGTCACAGCTCCTATAATTAAAATCAGACCTGAAAGCTCTGAAGTGTTGACAAAGTAAAGTAATAGTTATTAAAGCACCTGGGTCTTGCTAGGGGAATTGAGGTCACTCAAGCTTTACTGTAATCAAGGGCACAATGAACAACTTCACTAGATGAATGAAAAATCAATCTGGAAGCTGCATCATGGGATGCCTATGTAAACAGACTAATTCATAAGCTGGTTCAGAACTAAGAAAATGCTACATTGGATTGATTTATCATGATTTTAATTAATAAAACACAGTACAATGAAATACAATGAAATTTGTGATCTATGTGTTTCCTAATGATCATACTTTCAAACACAGCTCTCCTTTCTGTAAAACCTGGCAGTGTTGCTTGCAGTATTCTCCTCGCCATGCAAAAACATGATGGTTTACAAAATCAGAATTCAAAGGCAAGAAATTCAGTTATGTGGAGTGATTGTGAGAATTTTGGTCCCACCTGGGAAGTGCACCATGCACTTAGTTTTAGTGTTATCTCTGTCATGAGGGCACTGTAATAGGGACATGCCAAAGTGAGAGGAGAAGATGCAGAGAGGGGGTATGGTGTGGACTAGCTTTATGCACAGCCTGTCTTCCTCCGTGCTTCTTGACAATTTGGTTTATGATACTGCAAGGACTTGTCTGGCTCCTTTCTTAGCCAGCTGCCTTCAGCTGGGAGGCAGAACGTTTTTGGAAGATGATATTACAGCTAAGAGCAAAACACTCTGTGTGAGAGAAGTGCCAGTATTGATCCTGATACAGATTGCGTCCTAATGATGACAGCAGAGCTTAAGTTTGCCACAGTTCCCATCACTCACGTGCACAGAGTGTTCATTTAAGGAGTCATCCCATTTGAAAGACTACCAGAGCATAGCAAGAATAGATACATACAAGCTTCTTCTGAGTCCATGTCCTTTTGTATCTCTCACCCCTGGAGGAAAAAAATGTTGAATCTCGATTAATTCAAAGTCACAGTAGGTTGCTGATTACGAGCACAAACAAGATAATCATGCATGACTTTTTCACTTAAAAAACAATCAATCAAACAAACAAAAACCATTGAACAACGCATTATACTAGCTACAGGTTAAAGTAACTGACATTTTTATTTAGAATTCTTAAACTGCAGAGAAATTATCTACAGTATTTAATTTGTTTAAATGCAAATTTATGGATTAGTAAAAGAGCTGTGATATTGTTATGCTAATCACAATATTTTTAATGTTTTCCACTAAAAGACAGTTTTCCATTTCTTTTGTTTCATTTTTTTATTTCCTATTCCTCCCTGCATGTCTTCAATACATCATGGAAAAAAAGCTCTTCAGTATTCTCTTCAGGTTCCCATTCTATTAGATCTGGAGCATTCTGATTCTTTGTTAGCCAAAGGAAGTATTCTTATCGAAAAATGCAGGGTTGTTTTACCGTGTATATTGCACATACTGCAAAGGAGAAGGTTTGCATTCATTTCTATGTAAATATTTAAACTCTTTCTGTGTGAGTTTTTGTGGATGTTGGTCGTTTCTGGTTTGTCTAACCTAAGATATCAGCCCTTCTGCTACATGACCGCTTTTCAAACAGTCTGTATTTGTTTTTTGCTCTTAAAACAGTATCACTGTTCAAAGAAAATTTTAGAACTTGATATTATAACTAACAATCAGAAAACACTCACTATAAATTAAAAAGGTCTTTCCTATGTCTTTTGTCTGTTCAAGCCATAACAGAACATAATTTTTACTAACTCATAGCAAGGCGCAAAATAGAAAAAAAAAAAAAATCAGTCAAGATTTAAAGGCACTGCTTTAAAAAAAAAAAAAAAAAAAAAAAGGCTTCTGTATGTGTGGTAAATGGTGGTAGAGGTGGTAGATACCTGGCAACTATTTCTGAGGCCAGCTGTGCAGCTGCTGGTCACTCCTGGTTCTCAGTGCATTCCTGAACAGCAAGTAATATCTGGTATGAGCTGCTGGGTTCTGCTGCATGCAGGAATAAAGTGCTATTAGCAGAGATTAGACTGTATTTGCAATGCTAAGTTGAGAGGGATAATCATGAAGAAACTGAGGAACAATAATACAGTCATTGTGATAAAATGTTGCAAAATTTATAAACAAGGAAAAAGAGCAGAAGTAGAAATTTAAAACTGATAGAATTAAGGGCAATAAAAAGGTGATTAAAAAAAATGTATTGAGAAAGAATAACCCCAACATTATTGATTTGCCGTGAAGTGAATGCTGTAAAACTATTAATAATGTTGGAAAGTGCCAGCAGTGGTCAATTTTTTTTTATTTTATTTTATATATTTTTTTTTTCTGGGAAGAGGAGACACAAATAGTGTATATAAGGTGATTTTTTTTTTAAGTCAGTCACAACCGGACAGTAACAGCTCTGACACATTAAAAGAGCAAATTTAGATGTCCGATATTGTAGATACTAGGAATTGGGCCACTGAGATTGATATATCCAAAAAAGAAATATAGGTAAGATAGTACCAGTGAGTTTGTATTTGACAGTCTTAGGATGAAAGGCTGAACTCACTCTTGTGTATGTTTAGAAGTTTGATTCATAATGTCATAGGATATTCTTAGGTATGGCAAAATATCACATATGAATTGTTAGCCTTAAATATATATTGCCAACGGAATCCCTGTCAAGTGTGTAGTTCCTAGCTGAGTCTTGTGAATGATTAGTCCAGACTAGTGAAGGTTTACACTAAGGAGATAAGGAGAGGCTATAGAATGTACAGAAAACCTCTTTCCTTTACAGCACATCAGATGAAGAGCAAGAAATAACATTACATGAAAAATGCAATGAATCATCGTCAGTAACAATGCTGTAGGCAGAGGTCATTCTAGCCAACAAGCCTGCAGTTCAGTGGTGAAAATGAGAGGAGTTCCATTACTCTTAAAAATTGCAGCTCTACTCAAAACCATTGTTGAAATTTATTAAAATAATAAAATTTAAATTTAAAGAAGAGGGAAAAAAAACATTTTATGGTAAAAATACATTGTGTGCAGTCATAAATTGTTCTGCATTCTCTCAGACAATTACAGGCAGGAACGAAATTGTGCATTGGATGGTGCTAGGGTAGGATCATTGCTCTGCTTGCTCATGATTCTACTTCACCTAACTACTCCTAAGCCACTGGTGATACCAGAATTGAACAATCAAATTTGAAATATGAATAGATTTCTGATAGCTTGCTTTCCTCTCTCCTGGCTGGAGTGAGAAGAGGGAGGGATATAAAAGCTTGAAAACTCCCTGGACCAAATTCTTCCTGAAGTTTTCATCCATAAAGATAAATTTTATGCTGACTGCCTAAAGGGCCTCTCTGTTTTGGTCAGTGTGCCTCTAAAAGTCCTATCTAGTGATTGTCACAGAAAAAAGCATTACTGAAAAACTGATATTGAAGACTCTTCAAGAAAATGCATTAATTTGAAAGGCATTTTACTGAGTAACTGAAGAACTGTATGTTTCTGTCATGATGAAACAGTCCTTTCTCAGACAGTATTTTTCTTTAATATTTTAACAGTTCTTCAAAAGAGGATTCATCATTGAGAGGAAGTAAAATGACCTCTGTAGAGGAATGCCTTAATTTTTATAAGACAGATCGATTCAGCCTTTGTTTGGAACTCACTTCCATGTAGTACAGCTCATTTTTATTAATAAAGAGAAATTTAATTGAGGGAGAAAATAATGAAATGTGCAGAGCTTATTCCAAAACTGCAAATTATTGCACCCTTTGAGTTTTTGTTAACACTAATAGCAAAGCTACCACTGAATTCTTTGGTGCAGCATAAAATGTAAACAACTGGTCATAAAGAGGTCAAGACAACAGAGAGAAGAATACCAAAGAAAGGAGGCAAAATAGGTTAAATGAGATCAGCAAGGTGACAGAGCAGCTTCATGGTAAAGCTCATAAAAATACAAGTTCTCTGAAATTTTGGGTCTGTTTAACTGTGTGGGTCTTCAGCACTGGAAGGTGATCCCAGTGATTTCCAATACCATAAACAAGAAAGGAAATCCAGCGGAGATTGTTCACTGGTATGAACAAAGGCAAAGCACAGTCATGTGCTTTAGACCCTGGCAGAGTAGGCAAAATAGTATACTTTGTGCAAATACTCTAAAACTTTCCCTTGGGGTCCTATTCTACCATGGGAGAGCAGAGCTCAGCGCTGCCCTCCTCTCCCTTTGAGAAGCTGCGGCTGCTATGAGGGCTCCCCTCAGCAACTCTACTCTGCGCCGAACACACTGAGGGACCTCAGGTGCTCTCAGACCTCATCCTCCAGATCCTTTATAGTCTTTGTGTGCTCTCTAATAATTTCATTTCCTTCTCATATTATGAACTGCACCAGCACTGGAAGTAAGGCCAGAGCAGAGCAGAAGGGACAACCCCTTCCCTCATCCAGCGGCAGCACTGGGCCAGGTGCTATCTAGGGTATGGTTGTCCTTTTGTCCAGAGCAAACTGCTGCTCATGTTCAACTTGCTGCTAGCAAGAACCTGCAGATCCTTCCCTGCGGGGCTTCTCTCCTGCCTCTCATCCCTCAGTCTATACGTGTATTCAAGGTAGCATCATCTGAGATGCAGAGTCTGGCACTTGTTCTTGTGACTGTCTAGTTTGCCAGAATCTCTCTGTAAAGCCTCTCTGCCTTTGAGGATGTCAACAGCTCTTTCTAAGTTAGTGTTAGCAAACTTACTTAGTATGAGCACTTATCGTTACTACAGCCATGATCCTCCATCTTAGGACTCCCAGGGGTATCAAGGCCCATCACTTGTGTTGAAGACAGAGGAAGAAGGCACGAAATGCTTTTGCTTTATCTGCATCCCTATTTGTGAAGTGACCATCCTCACCAAGTAATGAACCAATCTTATCTCCAAACAAATCTCTTATCTTCCAAATACCTTTTAAATGGTTCCAATGCCTTTGTGAATTATAAAATGTAAATTGGTAAAGGGCAAGGAAGTGGTTAGCACTCAAAAGGATAAGGGTACCAACTGGAACTATGTACATCTCTTATTTTCCCAGAATGGAAAATAAGGAAGTCATCTCTGATCTGCATCTTTAGATCAGTAAATTCACATCAGTCTGTAAGCTCAGTTAAATCTCATTATGAAGACAACACTTAATCTTAAAGGATAGGATGGTAAAACATAGAATTGTTTCATATTTATCTGGTATGTGTCTTAGGAAGATTTAAGAGCTTTTTTTTATTCTTTATTTGCATATTCTGAAAACATAGCAAAGAGCTTCTTTGTTTCTGACTTTTGTATGCATTTTGTATGTCAGTAGTAAATGAACAGTGTGCTTTACGAGCACATATTGAAAAAAGCATTCATATCACATTTCAGTTTTTCTTAAAAAATAAAGACATAGTCACCAAAAAAGAATTCTGAAAAAATGGATTTCACTAAGTATTGAAGAATCAATTGGTGTTGTCTTTTTTTTAAAGAGCTTTGAAACTGAAATGACACAGAACGGGAAGATTATGTACAAAAATGTTCCTCCAACAGTATGTTCTTACAAATCTGCTCTAAAGTTTTAAAAGAGAAAAGCCAGTTAACTGATTTGTTCTTCAGGAGTCAGATCTGGAGTCCCTGTCAGGACCTACCTGGATGCTTTCCTGTATAACTTACGGTAGGAAAACTGAATTAGCAGGTAGTTGGACTTCCAGACCCTACCATTCTGTGATTTTGTGATTCTGTGTAACTCAAGATGTGCAGAGAAAAAGAAAGCTGAACCTTTTCTCCTGGACTTTTATCTGTAGGAGCTCTCCAGCTCAGCAGAATAACTGAAAAAAAGGTCCACAAGTCACTGCTGGGAATAGATAGAGTTACTAAGGTGGGGCATCAGGCCTGACATCTCAAGAGCTCATCTATTCCTGCTGCACATTGAAATGATCATATCATACATTATCCCCTAACCTGAGGGGAAGGTAACAAATATTGTTAGAGTGACTGGGAAGCCATGAACTCTGTTGGAGAAATTTAATGTGAGGGGAGACATCTTCCTTTTTCCAGTGGAGTGTGAGAACAGAATCTAGTGAAGCTGATTTATGATTCCTCAAAGAAATAAGTCCTGCATTTAAAAAGAGCTAAGAGCTGGCAAGCAGCAAGAAGTCATGTTTTAAAGAAATGAGAGTTGCTTGAAGACAATTCTGGAACTGAAACTGCGTCCATGTGTAAGTACTCCAAGAAGTATACTAAATCAGCATTAAATGAATGTAGTTTGCCCTTGATTATGTAAGACTCCTCTCTCTTTCCTTTTCTTCGTGCTGGCTATTAGCTGTGAAATTATGTGTTTCATAATGCACACTGAATCCAATTGGGATAACTGTGAATCTCACAGCTATTGCCAGCTTTTATTAGGAGAACCCCAATGTATTCCCAGGCTGTTTCCATTTCTGTAGAAGGAACTGAACAAACATGAGGAACGGGGAGAGAGAGAGAAAGGAAGAGGAACCTTGCTGCTTTCCCATTTTAGAGAATCAGGCAGAATGAGAACTAGTAAGTAAGTATCTATTTTAAAAAACTTAACTTCACAAGGAGCACCCACAGAGTTTGGAGTCAGAGCGAAATGAAATCAACTGAGGAGTGAGCCTTGGGAGTATTTTGTTATCACTTTAGAGATAAACAAGTTCATTATGGAGTTTGTCTTATCAAGCTTTAGCTATCTATTTAGTTTATAGTCTCCACCTAAGCTGGTGGTCAAATGCTTCTTCAGTACTCAGCAGAGAGGAATGTATCTTCAAGGGCAGTGTCCTAGTTACCTACCTTGGGACAGGATGTATTGCTATCTGCATTATCCATCTCTCTCACTGACTAGAATATCTCAGAACAGATGTTTTACTCATAGCTGTTTCAAACCAAGCAAGGTGCTCTTTCTACTATTCTACTACTAAGAGAGCTTATTCTACTATTATTAGATTAATTGCAAAGTTTTTATGGGGAGCAGAGCCTCAAATGGAGGCTTAATAAGTAGTACCTTAGTTCTTCTTAATCTTGTTAAAGAATCACAGCTTCTTTAAGTATCAGCTTGCAATCTGTGGGTCTGTCTCTCTGCACACTATTCTTTCTGACTCACTCGCTTGTGTGGTGAGTTTAACCTTAGGTGGATATTGGGTGCAAAGCCGTCCTCTTTCCCTCCTCGAGAGACAGGAGAAAAAAACAAGGAAAGCTGCTGGGTTGAGACAGAGACAGGAGAATGAGCATTTCCTGTCACGGAAAAAACAGATTCCATGAGGAGAAATTAATTTAATGTATCACCAATTGAAAGTAAGAGTAGGATGGTGAGAAACGACAACAGAAATAAAATCACGTTCCTCCCAAGCCACTTTTTTTCTCAGCTTTTCTCTTTCAACTACCAACATTTCTTACCTCCTCCCACAGGAGTGACACAGAGAGATGAGGAGAAGGGGTTGCAGGCAGTCTGTAACAGGTCTTCTCTTCCATTCTCTCCTTCTCAGAATTTTCCCCTGCTCCAGTGTGTTTATCTGCCATAAAGGGTAGTCCTTCCAGAGCACACTACTCCGCGCGGGTACCTACAGGCTGGGCAAGGAGGGCCTATCCCTCCATGAGCCTCTCCTGGACTGCAGGAAGCTGCTGCTCTGTGCGTGGAGTGCCTCCCACCCTTCTCCTGTGGTGAGCTGGGTGCCTGTAGGCCTGCCACTCTTTACATTTTTATTCCTGCACACTCTCACATCTATGTGAGAGGCACAGCATGTTTTTCCCTTTTTTAAATCTATCAGTGAAGCATCATGATGTTGGTTGACGGGCTCAATTTTGGCTTGTGGTATGACTTGAGCATAGGGCAGCATTTGTACTTTTCTCATAGATGCTACTCCTGCAGTCCACTCAGCTATAAAAACATTGCCAAATACATTGTGTCTCACCAGGCTTTTTCCTTCGGGCTTTGGAAATGTCCGTCATTTTTAAATCATAGTGCAAGGGGGAATTATTCTTTTGTCTAGTGTTCTTGCCTTTTGTTTTGAACATACATTCCAGATGATATTCCAGAAGGGAAAGCCACAGGGCAAAGTGGGAAAAATGTTAACATCAGCTAACTAAATTCATTGATATTTCATCATTGTCTGTAGTGTTGCTGACACACCCCCAGCATGAGCCAGCACCTCCTCTTGGGGATGTCATGCCTGCTCTGATAAATGATGAAGTTAGTACCCCAGAAAAGTCATTTTCCAAATACAGCCTTAACAGTTAGACAAATAACATTTCCACACAGCACTACTGTATAATAAAACAGTGTGTTCAGGTCATGCTGCAAAGCAGGTGTGAAATGGAATGCTGATAGGATAAAGACAGCTATGATCATGCTGTCAGGGAGATACTCAGTCTTCAGACAGTAAAAGACTACGTATCTCCAAAGCTCCTACTTTCTTCTCCTGACACACCTGTGGGAGGTTGATTATGTTTTGGAGGGAACTGAGTCTGATGAAGAGGAGCCAGGGCTGAGGAATATGACACACTGGGAAAGTGACAGGCAAGCTGTTACTGGTAAGGGTACCCAGAACATACGAATATATAAATAGGAGGAAAATTTTCTATCAGTAAGCAAACATGCATCGCATTTCCCACTCTCTTTGAAAAAACTTCAGTTAGAAGCTTGTGCCCATCATAGTAATCTGCACACAATTTTTTTGCCAATGTGCAAGCTTCCTATTGCCCTCCTCCACCCAATCCAAGTCCTTTTGCCTAAATTCCTGTAGATGGGGGATTCTGTCCCTCAAGCCATGTCAAGCCAAGAGCAACAAGTGGCAAAACAGAAACACATGCCTCAGCATTTGCTAAGCAAGATCAGAGAGGTAATATACCTGCTCGACCTCCTGACAGAGTTCTAGGAGCCACCCTTTGAAGGGCATGACATACTATCTCCTTTCCAGTTCTGCAAACCCAGCCAGCTCAGACACTCATGTTCTACTGTCTATTTCTATTGGTTTCTATTTTTCTATTTTGCTTGTCCAGCCCTGGCTTTTTCATTTCTATGGCTCCCAATGGGCTGAGTTGTTTGCTGACTTCTCTTTTTAGAGTCCTTTCCTTTCTAGTGTTTCTCAGAGACAATGTTTTTTGTTTTTTGTGTTTTTTTCTGCTGATGTTAGTTTCTGTTTCCTTCATTCCATTTGTTTTAGTTATTCTGTGGGTACCTGCATGACAGTAATTTCTGAAATACTCTACTGGTAGCAAAAAAGTCCCTTTAATGAACAAATGTCTTCTTCTGTAACAGCAGACATTGAGATTTCAAAGAGATTTTCTTCTTTCTTCTCAGTAAACACCATTCATGAAAAAGTTCCAAGTTTTAGAAGCAGATTGGATTACCAGGACATGGTAAGGCTTGGGAAAAAAAAAAAAAAAAAAGAAAAAAGAAAAAAAAAGTCTCAGCTGATCCCCAAAAGCTCATTTTCTTTTAGTTATTCTTTTTACATTTTAAGAATGTCTGTTATGACTGTTCATTAATAGCCTGAAGAGATGGAAGATGGAAGATGGAAAGATGGAAATTTCTGAAGTGATAGCACTCCTATTGGCTCATTACTCCGTTAGGCATTCGTGAATGCTTTATGAAGGGAAAACTATGGCAAAGTACTAAATAGTGATTGAAGACATGCAATGGCATGGTCAACTAAGCATGCTTTTGGTGTGCATGGTTGTGCTGTGAATTCAGGCTAGATTACTGATGCGTTTCTTTCTACATATTCTTTTCCACTTTACATCATGCATGGTTTTCATTTCTGTCAGGCTGTAAAATCTCTATCATACATACCGCCATATCTCTCAGGAGTGCCCAAGGAAGTCCCAAGAAGAAAGAACTAGTTTTTTCAGTCATCAGAGCAGCCCAACAAAGTCTTTGACAGATCTCTCTCTAATTTGCCCTGCAATTCTCAGTTTGATGCGAGTCACAGAGCTCCATGGGACCTGCCCTTACATAGCATTTATGATGAGAAACTTACGTTCTCTGATCATGGCCAAATAACAGAAGTGATGAGAATGGGTCAGCAAGTGATTCCACCAGAAGCAATTGATGAACAAGCACCTGATTTCTAGTGCAGATTTTGAGATACCAGTCTACACCATTTGCAGGCTATTGGAATGGTGGAAGCTTTATTTTGCAGTAGTTGATCACAGGTGACATCAGTGTTCTGAATTTGCAATAGCAACCCTGCCATGCAGCACTATAGAATTATTCTTTCTCGAAGCGGAACATCATTCATGCTATTCAGTTCATTGTTAAGGATGCAATAGGTATTCTCTCTCACTAAATTCCATTCGCTACAAACATGACTTCTATAGCCTACTGAGGAGCACGAAGACTGTGGTGACAGATGAAAAAGGTCTAAGGAAAGGTGACAGGCGTCCCTCTGAAGGACTACAGAATGTGAATAAACACTTAAATTTTCTTACTTTCTCTTTTTAGCAAGAAGCATTTGACCCATTTTTAAAGCATCTTTATGTCGAAGTTCTCCTCTTTATTGCTGGTTGAGGGGACTGAGAAGTACTTTTTGTATTTCAGACAGGATTGTTAGTTGAAGGCTTGAAACCGACTATTAACCATCTTTGATTTTTCTGAATCGTGGCTCTCATCTTAGAGCATTACTGTGGACTCCCCAATAAACTGTCAGGGCATGTGAACTAATTAGATCCTAGCAACAGTGGGGTACCGCAGGATTTATTCTACATGGAATACCCAAAGACCTGATGACAAAAACAGTCTCACAGCAAGGACTAAAGATAATCACCTAACTAATCATTCCTGAGATTTTACTATTGCAGAGTTACATTTTCTTGCACTTTCAGTGCAGTCAATATTGAAAAGGAAAAAAAATTCAAGTGAAAAATTTGGGGGAGCTTAATGTCCTGTAAACCTTTCAGTCAGGGGATATATTTAGGACACAATAATTTTGAGAATAGTATGGGACTAATTTTTTTTTTTTTTGTAATTTAGTGTGGCATCACAACAAGCTGTGACCGTGTTTCTAAGCAGAAATATCATTGCAGCTCCTTTGGTAGGATAAATGTTACTGGTGTTCTTTGTCCACAAAACAGAAATGAATCCTCTGTCTTACATGTCACTTAGAAATCTAGGAAAATTACAGCTGAGTACCTAAAGGTCAGTCTAGGGGATTGTTTTTCCTCCAGGTTCGCTGCCAGGATTCTCAGCAGTATTGATATGAGTGTCTGTTTTTAAAGTGGTACTGTCAGTTGACCCTCTAGACTCTGAATATTTTTACTCCTAACATTTTGAATTATTATTGTTTTTTAATTCTAGTCTTGTGTAACAGTTATTAAGCCATGAGTTTATGATCTATTGTCTTTGTTTGGATTGAATTTCTTTTTTTTTTTTTTATTTCCCTCAAATCTGCCGTCTAGAGGACTGCAACTGAATACAATTATTCCTTACAGTAAAGTGCAATAGAGAAGAAAAATGTGGCTGGAGCTTACTTTCAATCACATGAAACAATATCTCTCTCTTGCCTTCTAAATGCTTTTTAAGTTTCTTCCTGATATGCAGTGACATGCTCTGTCCTCCATCTGTTTCTTTGATTGTAGCACACTTTTACATATTCACAGAATCACAGAATGGTTGGAAGGGACCTCAAGGATCATGAATCTCCAACCCCCTGCCACAGGCAGGGCCACCAACCTCCCCATTTAATACTAGACCAGGCTGCCCAGTGCCCCATCCAATCTGTCCTTGAACACCTCTAGGGACAGGGCATCCACAGCCTCTCTGGGCAGCCTGTTCCAGCACCTCACCACTCTCACTGTAAAGAATTTCCCCCTGACGTCCAACCTAAATCTTCCCTCCCTCAACTTAAAACCATTTCCCCTTGTCCTGCAGTTATCTACCCTTTCAAAGAGTTGATTCCCCTCTTGTTTTTATGCTCCTTTTAGGTACTGAAAGGCTGCAATGAGGTTGCCCCGCAGCCTTCTTTTCTCCATGCTGAACAAGCCCAGCTCCCTCAGCCTGTCTTTGTAGGGGAGGTGCTCCAGGCCCCTGACCATCTTTGTGGCCCTCCTCTGGACCCTCACCAACAGCTCCCTGTCTTTCTTGTACTGGGGGGTTAAGAACTGGACACAGTACTACAGATGGGGCCTCACAAGAGCAGAGTAGAGGGGGACAATCACCTCCCTGTCCCTGCTGGCCACCCCTCTTCTGAAGGATCCCGGATACCATTTGCTTTCTGAGCTGCAAGGGCACACTGCTGGCTCATGTTAAGCTTTTCACCAAGACCCCCAGGTCCTTCTCTGCAGGGCTGCTCTCAAGGACCGCTCCTTCCAGTCTGTATGGATGCTTGGGATTCCTCTGGCCCAAGTGCAAAACCTTGTACTTTGCCATGTCAAACCCCATTAGGTTCATCCAGGCCGCCTTTCAAACCTGTTGACGTCCTTCTGCATGGCATCCCTTCCTTCCACTGTGT